CTTTAGCTCTGATACCAACTGTAACACCCCGCTTATCAGAGTAAATTATTCGCAACTTGTTTAGAAAATACTTATAAATTTTTCGAAACCTTCTTAACTCGGGATGCTACTAACTTATCTACTTTAAAAATCTGTTTACTTAAACATCATCTAACAACTAAGTTAGACATAAATAAAATAGATTTTAAACATTGAACAAATATAAAAACGTAACAGTTCATACAATCAACTTGGTAAATCAACCTTCAAAATCACACTTAAAATCACACTTGTTCAAATCTTAAAGAAACGTAGCGGAAATCTTACAAGCGTGGTTTACCAACTGAAGCCTTATTGAAAATTCTCAATAGAAACTTATTCACATCCACGACCACCACAGCTCCTCACACCTGCGCACCGTCTTTATTTCTTGAAAAAAAATGATAATAGTGGGGCGTGAGTACTAATCAACTGTACTCCGTAAAAACCCATACTAAAGTAAACAGCAATAATAATATCAATATCATGATCTTTGGTATGTATCTAAGCTTAATCTTTCGGTATCTAACCGATACTTTAACTTGAACTTTGCAACTACCGGTAACTTGGGCCGGTTCTCACGTGATCACATTCTGGGGGTCGCCTCCCACAGAACCCAGTCTTGACTGAGCGAGCTTAATACTTTACTTAACTTTATACATACCTCGAACATGATAATAGCTATTATACTCAATGTAATACCCAGTCTGGGTCCCCACCTTTTCTTGTTGAAAACTTTTGAAAACTGTAAGTGCTGTACTGATAGCTGTATCTGCAACTACATAAAAAATATAAACAAATATACTAAGTACTATGCTCATTATTCTTACTAAAATACTCGGATATTCACATCTATCAGATAACTTATCCGAATATAAAAGAATACTCTAGAGATCATACTAAGTCCGAATTTAAATTGGTATACTTAAACTAAACCGAAACTTAATCATTTTCATACTCTTCAAACTTTCACATTAATTAATATAATGAGAAAAACTAAAATCATATGCTATAACTCAATTCACCTCATTTTAATCTTAACTTTAACATATGTATTCTCAACATATATATAAAGTTACCTTAAAAAATTTCACTTTAAAATAATATTCATATCTTGAGATATATTATTTCAAAGTTGAACTATATTAAAACATTCAATTTACTTGCATACTTGTCTTTAAAAATCTATATCTCATGCTACAATTATCTAAAAATTCTAAAACTTTATATCTTAACTCTCAACTAAATGAAGAATTATTCTGTAAATTTTCTCATAAAAATAATAACCATAAAGTGAGATATGAATTTTCAAATAATGTTTGTCTTACTGAAATTCGAGATTTACTTACTTATGTTCATTATTTTCTATAGCATCTTAAACAAGTCCAATAAATATAAAATTTAAACTGGAAGTTTTTAACTAATATATGAATTGACCATAAAATTTCCAACTCAAAATAATATCAATAGATAGGGTAATTCAATACCACAAATCATCATTACTACACAGATTTTTCACTGAACAACACCTTAATAAAAGATTTTTATAAAATTCATTTTAGTTTCGACTAATCTAAAAATTTCCAGTATTATTCTCAACATAATGATTATCTTAGATAAAAATTTTCATAAGTTTTGGAACTCAATAGGTTGGTCAAAAACAAACAAACATAAGCTGCAACATCATGAACTTTAAATAATATTGTTTTATATACTTATATATATAAAAATTATAATTTCTTAACATAACAACATATTAATAACACATATAAACACTTATAATTATTAACTATACTTGATGATATTAAAGTTGTATAACATACCTCTTCCAATCTTGAGAAAACAAAACAATGAAACTTGATTCACATTCTCTCAAAATTGCTCGATTCCTCTCGTAACTACTCGTTTCTTACTATTTCTTGCTCTATGAATATTTATAAAATTTCTAGTGCTTCTAAAATCTTATTCTAAGGCCCTCTATTTATAGGCATAAGAGCTCTTCATTGTTGATAAAACTCCTCACCAAATTTGCTTAGAAATTAATATAAAAACTTAACTTGAATTAATATAAAAATATGATTTTGATGGCTCATAAATACTCTCTAAAATAGGACAAATATGCTGATTAATGATGATAATAATGCTCCCATAGCTGATATAAAAATTGGCCCCATTTTTATTTAAAAACACTTAGAAAGTTTTTTAGTAAAAATGATGACAAAACATCATTTAATGCTTTATTTATTTATTCATTTCTTAATATTCAGCTCTTAATTTTAAAATAAAAATAATACTTCATAATTATCTTGTAATATGGTAAAAAAAACAAGAAAAATAAAATTTATGGAATCAAATTTGGACTTAAAACGAACAATTACCGTAAAACCGAAAATTCTAAAAATTCGGATTTCTCTCTTTTGCTTTTGATTTTTTTTTTTTTCATAATTACTTTGAGATTGTGATATTTTCTCTTGTAAAAACCATACTAACTTAATCTTGAAAATAATTTACTTATCATCTATAAACTATTAATAACTTTTACCGATTTACTGAATAACTTCTACTGATTTACTGACTTACTAAAAATATGGGGTATTACACGATGTGTGCTCTTGCTAAAGAAAACAGTGGATTTGGCCATGTTAACTTGTTGCCCAGAGAAAAGGTGGTACTTGTTCAGGAGTTGCTTGAGGACAGAAGCCTGTCTGTGATCAGCTTTGCAGAAAACCAGGAAGTCATCTACAAAGAGTAGGTGAGAGAGAGTAGGACATCCTCTAGCTAGTCTGAGCCCCTTAAAGGTTCCATTGGAGACTGCATTGGTGATTAGAGAAGATAGAGCTTCAGAGACAATGAGGAAAAGGTAAGGGGAGAGGGGATCTCCTTGCCTTAGTCCTCTGGATGGCTTGATGTAACCCACAGCTTCACCATTAACCATGAAAGAGAAAGATGTAGTGGTTATACAGGAGAAAATCCATTTGATGAAGATTTACCCAAAACCCATTTTCAGCATGATGGTCCTTATGCAGCTCCACTCCACCTTGTCAAATGCTTTCATCATGTCCAGTTTGAGTGCCATAAAACAGTGTGGGCCAGTTCTGTGTCTGTTCATGTAGTGAAAGGCTTCTTGAGCAATGATTATCTTGTCCATGATGTTCCTGTCTGACAAGAATGCTCCCTGAGATTGGCTAATGCAGCACTGTAGACAAGGTTTAAGTCTTGATGTAAGAATTTTGGATATAAGCTTGTAAACCACTGTGCAGAGACTTATTGGCATGAACTGGGTGATTGAGGTTGGGTTCAAGCATTTGGGAATCAGAGTAACTAGGGTGTGGTTCCAGTATTTGAGGAGATGCCCAGAATTGAAGAACGTATCAATGGCAGCACAAATATCATCTTTGAGTATGGGCCAAAAATGTTGGTAGAAGAGAGGAGTCATCCCATCTTCTCCAGGAGCCTTGAGAGGGTTCATCTGGAATAATGCACTCTTGATTTCCTCCTCAGAGATGGGAGCTTGTAGTTGCTGGTTCATATCATGAGTAATTGTTTGGGGGATGAGTTGGGATATTTCTTGAGCACCAAGGGAGCCTTCAGAAGTGTATAACTGTTTGTAGTAGCTGGCAATTTCCTTAGCACTTTCTTCTTTGGTAATACATAGTCCAAATTGATCTAATAATAACCTGGATATTGCATTCTTCTTTCTCCTTTGCATGGTGAATGCATGGAAGAAATTAGTGTTCCTATCACCCTTTTTAAGCCATTGGACTCTTGATTTTTGCTGCCAGAAAGCTTCCTCTGAGGTCTGTGCTGTTTCCAATTCTTTCTTTAAAGACTCTCATTCATCCCAACTTTTGCCAGCACCTAATTGCCTTATTTCTTCCAGCTTGAGAGAAATGGAGGCCACCTTCTCTTTATGATCTGCTCTAAAGAGTTTGCTCCACTTCATCAAGGCCACTCTGGTTTGCTTAACATGCTCTTTGAGTGTGAAGAAAGGAGTACCTTGCTGAGGTAAGGCCCAAGCTTTCTGAACTTCTTCTTTGCAGCGCTCTCTGGTGATCCACCTTTTGTCAAAGGTGAATCTTCTTCTGTGGTTTCCTTGGCTACTTTGGGTTTCTAAGAGTAGCACTCCATGGTCAGAGGCACTTTTGAATATGTTTGAGATATTGGCCTGTGGAAATCTTGATATCCAGGCTAGAGAGCCAAATCCTCTGTCTAGCTTTTCTTCAACAAAGCCTTCAAGAGCTCTGTTGTTCCCCCAGGTAAATTGGTAGCCCACTAAGGTAATTTCAGACATCCCCATAGCTAAGATGAAGTCATTGAAAGCATTAAAGCTGGATGTAGGTCTAGTTCTTCCTCCTCTCTTCTCCTCTTGATTGAAATGTCATTCCAGTCTCCAATCAGTGCCCAGTGATCTCCCCAATTACCTCGTTGAAAAGTTACATGAACGCACCCAATCAAGTTATCACAAACATTATCGAAGATAGAGATAAAGTTAAAAAAAACATTGCCACTTCAAGAAAGATTACAAAGTTCATCAAAGTACATGATTGCAGAAGGAAAGAAATAAAATACAAAAGGAGCTAATCTAAGGAGGAGGGACGGTGACCGAGTCAGCATTGCTCGAATTGGCATGAGGATCGGGCTGGTGGCCAGTACCAGAGGTCGAATCGCAGGCCTCATTGAGTGGATGTCATCGGATAGATTCATCCATTGCGACCAACATGGCAGCTGGAGAGGTAGCATCATTAGGCAGAGCAAAGGTCTTCTTTAAGATATCCGATCGACCTAAGGTTCTCTCGAGCTGCCCCGACCACCACTCGTGCTCAAGCGGCAGAGTAGGGTCACAACGATAGATAGAGGGAACCTTGGGTAAGGCATCCCAGATAGCTCCGAAGTCGAGCTGCTCGAAGTCATCCTCGGCGATCTGCTCGCCGGCCTTTTGCAGGGCAAACTGGAAGCAGTCTACCCGGAAATCTTGAACCTACTTTAAAAATTGTGGCGACTGCATGAAGTCAGCCCCCACTTGTGCAAAATTCTCACGGAGGAAGAGCTGCCCAGTTGTTGTCGCCCAGAGCATTTCCCTCGCTCGAAGAGCAGTGGCATTTGCGTAGCGTTGTTTCTCCTCAGCATGGGCAGCCCTCTCTGTAGCCAGGGTCGCCTCCAGCTCAGCTCGAGTGGCCTCTGCCTGGGCTTGGGCAGCCTCCACCTGAGTTCGAGCAGCTTCCGCTTGCGCTCGAGCAGCCCGCTCCTGCTCGAGTGCAGCCTCCTTCTCCTTTAGCGTGGTTTCTTTTTCGGCCACCACAACCTCCTTTACCGCGAGGGCGGCTTCTCTCTCCGCGAGAACCTCATCCTTCTTTGCGAGCTCTCCATCAAGGGATTTAATCTTGACTTCAAACTCGGTCTTTTGCTCGGTTTGCGTCTCGCGGAGCTTGGCGTTGTGGTTCAGGAGGGTCGAGTTCTTATCTTGCAAGTAGCCGATAGTGCCCTCGAGACTTTTTATGGACTTCCCAGAGCTATCTCGAGCTTCCTTAGCTAGAGGCAAGAATTGAACCAAGCCCTATAATCGAAGGAGATAAAACAGTTTAACCAATGTGTCGTAAAAAGAATGTTAGGAAGAAACCAATATGAATACAAAACAAGCAATACCTAGGCAAGCCATTGGACAAACCGATCGCCAACTTCGGGCAGCGTAGTGCTGGCCTTCTTGCGGTCATCCTCGAGGAGGGCACTCTCGAGGCGCTCGACCACTTCATTCACGGAGGCCGAAAAAAGAGACGTCGATTTTGGGGCCAACGGGTCGGGCCAGAGGTGGCTTGTACGCCCTCGTTTCCAGACCGCTTCACCTTGGTCGGTACGAGAGCGCTTCCCAAGGGTAATCTGGCACCCCGCGTCATCTTGACCGCTGGACTCGACCAGTGCCTTGGTCGAGCCAGCGGAGTGAGTTTTGGAGGACTGTTGGTCGAGGGGAGGTTTTTCTGGGATCTTAGTTTTGGACGAGGTATTGAGTTCGGAGGACTTATCGGTGGTTTTGGGTTAAGTCTTATCTTTGGGATTGGGAGTTCGGTGTTCAGCTTTTTGTGAGCGGTCGTCGGCTTTGTGTTGACGATCAGTGGTTTTTTGGCGGTCGTCAGGCTTGTGCTGGTGATCAGCAGTCTGTTGACGGTCATCGGTTTTGGCGGTGGTCAAGGCTTTGGTGGTGGTCGAGGCCTTGGTGGTAGAGACAGAGGCAGAGGTGTGCTGAGAAGTTTTGCCGGGGGGAGGCGGAGGAGTTTGGCGTTGTTGGTGTTTCGGTGGTGGTTGCGGTTGTTGTTGTTGTTGTTGTTGCTGTTGTGGTTGCGGTTGTTGTTGTTGTTTTTGTTGTGGTTGTTGTTGTTGTTGTTGTTGTTGTTGCTGTGGCCCTGGCGGCGGAGGCAATGGCAAGGGGGTATCTCGCGGAGGTGATCGCGTCTGCGGCTCCATTCGAGACCCAGAGGAAGCAGCCGACCCCTCAGCTTGACCCCCGGTCGAGCCAGAGGTAGCCCCTGTCTTCTTTTTAAGAGGAGTTTTCCTCGGAGGGATGTTGAAACTGGGCACCTCTGCAAGAAAATCACAAAATAAATTACATCGACATCAACAGAGAACACTTGGGGCAAAGACAAGGGGGCGCGTAAGCATTTGAGCAACCAGGTCGAGGATTACCTGGGTCATTCTCAAGTCGAATGAGATCGAAGATCTCATCAGTGGGAGGAGGACAAGTTTTGTGGGTGAGCAAGCCACAATGGTGGAGCAAGTTATCATCCCCAAGTAGTTTCTCCGATACAACGGACTTGGCGTTCCAAGTGTGGACCCGTTGCTCGAAAAGGGGGTTTAAAGGAGGGGCCGAGACCTCTTGAGGAACATCCTTAACCCAAGGGACAGAAGGCCACGAAAAAGGCACGTCGGGCTCGATGAAGATGAACTGGTCTATCCACTTGCGGAGATTGGAAGGGACATCATTGATGAAATGGGCGCCGTTTTGGCTTTTCAAATAGAGGCCTCGGCCTTGTTTGGAAGGGGCGTAGCAGTAATGAAAGAAGGCGAGGTCGAATCGACCGAGGCGGATGTGGTAGAGGATGATGAAGGTGGTCATAAAGCGGATGGCATTTGGGGGAAGTTGGTGTAGAGGAAGCCCGAACCATTCGCAAATTTGGAGTAGCTCAGGACACAGAGGAAAACGAAGGCCGAGTTTGAATTGGATTTTGAAAAAGGTATAACAGTTCTTTGGAGGATGATCATATTTGTCGGAACTAAAAAAACGACCAACCGCTGGGGTGGACGATCTTATCAGGAGAATACCATTTATGGGAGAGAGAAGGGTGCTTAGTGGAAGCTCTGCGGGTGTTTTCGGTCGAGGTTTTGTTGGAAGGAGAGTTTGATGCACCAGGCTGAGAAGAAGAAGGAGGAATGGTCGAAGATACAGGAAAATTGGGTTGAGAGGAAGTGACCTCATCCTCCTCTGGCTCATCTAACGAGCCAAAGGCAGGTCGACGACGGCGGAGGGGGATGTTATCCATGGTATCCCCAGAATTAGCAGAAGCAACACGGGCTGTAAAGACACGAGTAGGAACGGTATCGCCGGGGCGAAGGATAGAAAGAGGAACGGCTTCGAGTGCCGAGGGCAATATTTGAACCGAATCGTAGGAGGTGGTCGAAGTAGCAGGATCTGAAAACAAAAAAGAAAAAGAACAAGGTCAAAAAGAAGAATTTCAACAAAAAGAAAAAGAGGAGGAGAAGAAGATTTCCAAAGTTAGGGTTCTACGAAGAGGCGATTTTGGAGAAATTAAAGAAGGAGAGCAGGGATTTCGAGGGATTTTCAAAGAAAAAGGGTAAATTCACAGTGATTAACAAGCGGGGACAGACATTCAACACACAGATTCAAAGAACTCAAACAGCAAACTTTAGACACCCAATTCAAAAAATTCAAAACGCAAAATCTCAGATACAGGAAGCGTAAAATCAGGCGAGGAGCAACTTACTCATAATCGCAGATGAGAGATTGGGAAAAGCTCGAAGATCGCAGGGGAAATCGGCAGAAAATATTAGGGTTTTTTGCAATAGGGATGTTTGAGCACAGTAAAGTTCGAAATTGCAAAGGTGGAAAAACTCAGAAAATTCGCTAAGTGTTGAATTTATACTTGGAGAGTTGAAGAAAGAGAGAAGAGAGCCGTTGGATTAAAGATAGATCTGACGGTGGAAAGCGTTAACTCAAACAGTACTCAAAGTGGGCGCGTTATGCGAGGAGGCACTATCATTAAAGTGACTGACAAATGCGGCAGACGCGACGCGTGGCAGAAAGAACATGTGACAGGCGACCTTATCTCTGGCAATTAATGAGGTGTTATTTGAAAAAATAAGCGGGAAATCCATCAGATGATAGATATCGGACACCATGCTATCCAGGAGGTCGATGAACACAAATTCACTCTTAGATCGAGTCATTCAGACTCGACCAGAGTGTGGGGGACTAGATGATATAGGATATTATACCTACCAGGCTAAACCGATCTGCTGAACCGGACGAGGAGGTCATATCATGAAGGAACCGAACCAAGTGGCGGGAAGATCGAGCAGCTAACCTGTCGACCAGTCAAGTAGTCAACCAACCCATCACTTGACCAGATGAGTGATCGAGCAAGTCAGTCGACCTCAACAGGCCGATTATATTGCAGACCTGAAACTCTAATGGATCGGCCTAGTCACAGGCGCATGTGAGAGCCTCTAACGGAATTTCAGAAGAATGTTCATCCCATGTGCAGGAGGACACATGTCAGGAACTTATTGGTTGATAGCGACAACCACCTCTGACAGCTTACCCCATGTGCAGGAGGACACGCGTCCAAAGAGTATTGGTGCAGGCGATAGTGGCGACGACTACCTCTGACACACACGTATTGTGTGTACAGACGGGCATTTAGGGCAGACAACTCAACAAATCTGGGCAGCCCTAGGTCAGGTATCTCACCCCTATATAAAGGGGGTGAGCCTTTCTTCTTCCACATGATTTTTCTATTATTCACTTCAGTATACTCATACACATACTTACTTAAGCATCGGAGGCTCTTCACCGGACACAACCCTTGGTGTGAGAGTTATTTGCAGATTTTCGGCGTTCTACCGGCGAGGACAAGAATCGATCTACCCCAAACCGGACCAAGATGCTCATACTTGCATTAATATGATATATGTGCTGCAAGTTGTGTTGATTTCAAAATCGGTGCGCGGATTAAGTTTTGGAAATCTCGTGTTGTACCTTTGAAATTAGGTTTTACTTGTTAAATGCATGCCTATATGACTTCTGTGCTAAGTGGAATCCATGTATGTTGCTATACGTTGTTCGTGTGTTGGATAGTTATTTATAGGACTATTTTAATATATGTAGCTATGTGACGAGCCGAGCTCGCTACCTACACGTGTTTTGTGTTATCTCTTGCTTTCGACCAGGTAGGTACAGTTGTTGTATCTATAATTATCGAATTTTGTTATTTCGTATAAATGTTCGTTTCGATAACTTAAGTATGCCTGAGAACCCTAGTCTAGTGTGTTACACCGCCAGGGGCGTCTCGCCTTTAGTGCCTTTGACGAATGCATAAACAGTGAGAGGTTGCTGAACAGTTTGCCTAGTCGGGAGGCGATGCCCTGAACCGTTTGCCTAGTCGGGAGGGAAAAAACAGCTCCACTGTCTCCCTGAAAGGATCCCTTTGCATATGTCGAGCTAGAGAGGGAAGGTTTCCGGTTACTTCCTTTCCGATGTATGATCGGAAGGTTGTTGTATGTACATAAGAGATTTGCGATAGGGCCGAATAGGGAGATAGACTTGGATTCTATGCATACTCTATTTATGGTTTTGGATCTTTATGCGAGATAGACTTATGCGATATTGGTGAGCATGGTGGTTTTGCTCACCCCCATTGTTTGTTTTGTCCTCTTGTTTCCTCTTCCTATCTTTAGGTTGAGCAATGTTAGCGGCGACAGCGAGAGACGAGCAAGTGGTGGTCATTGGACGTCATGTCATTGCTTCCGCATTATTTAATTGTGTTGGATTGTTAGTTATGGATTATGATGCTTCCGCTTAAACTTTCTGTTGATCATGTTGATGGGATCATGTTGAAATCTTTTGAATTTGGTTTTGAAACTTATTATAACTTGGTTTGATTATTATGTTGTTAGAGATGCATGTGTAGGTTCTTGTGGTTGAACTTAATTGTTATTTTTGTTAGTAGTCAAGTAACGCCCGTTGGTATATAAAATTTTTAAATTGGGATTTTGCAAAAAATTAACTCTGATTTTTTTAAATAAATTCGGTAAACTCTTTAAAATAAAACGGGGTGTTACAACAACATTAAAATCGGCAGAACCTATACATACATTATCAAAACTTTTCACAAAATGGCACAAATATTTCATTGGGAAAAAAAATCAAAAAAATTGAAAAAAAAACCAAAAAATCAAAAAAAAAAATCAAAATAAATCCAAAAGAATTCGAAAAAAACCGAAAAAATAAATAAAAAAATAGCGTGACAATCAGGCACGGAGCTACATGGGGCCCAGGGTGGTCCCTGGGCTGCCCTCATTCATAAAAAATCAATATATATATATATATAATATGTATAGATATATAAAAATATTTACAATATATTAATAATAAAACTTATTAAAAATCAATTTATATAAAGAAAATAGTATAAAATATGTATAGAAATGTAAAAAATATTTACAATATAGTACTAATTAACACTTATTTCATATGTTATTTTTATTTAAATTAATAATATTATTTATTTATTGAAAAATATAATAACAATCCTTATATATTAAATTGTAGATAAGCTTTAGAAAATATTTATAATGATTTATTCTTTTTGTCTCTTAATTGTAAATCACTAAAATCGATTTACAAATCGAGTATTTATTGATTGGGTTGTTATATTTTTAATGTTGATTTTAATCTTTTTTTTTGTGTAATCACATATTTTTAATTTTATTTAATTTTTTCTTAAAAAAAATTTATGATAAGCATTCATAAAAAAAGTGTTATGGGATGTTGTGTAAAAATTCAATTTAAATCAAAATTTCAACCCAAAAACTTATTTTTTCGATGTTGATTTTAAATATAAATACATGAAATCTCTCTTCTTATTTTTTTTTTTAAGTTTGAGGGTGATACGGTTTCTAAGTTTTTAAAAATTTGATGGTACACGTATCATTATTTATAATTATAATAAATACGTTGTTATATGAAATGAGTGTTTCGATTTAAACTTAAAGCCCGTTATTTAACATTTAAAATCGGGCCCCCAGAATAAAATTTCTAGATCCGTCACTGGGGACAATCCTAAAGCACTGAAAAAGGGCTCTCCAATTCACAAGTATTTTTTTTATACAATTTTAATGAATTTAAAAAAAAAAAAAAAAATATGCCCGTCGGCCGGCAGGGTCGACTACGGCCATTGCGGCCCATTTATGTTGGGACGACCGCCTATTGCAGCTTACTCTTTTTCGGCCGCATTCCTTGTGTAACACCCCGCTTATCAGAGTAAATTTTTCGCAACTTATTTCGAAAATGCTCATAAATTTTTTGAAATCTTATTAACTTAAGTAGGGATGCTACTAAAACTTATCTGCTTTAGAAAATATGTTTCCTTAAAAACTTGGTCTAGCAACTGGGTTAGACATAAATAAAACAGATTTTAAATATCAAACAAGTATGTAAACTGGACCTGTTCATACTGGCGAACAGATAAATTATTTAAATCTGAAAATATTGTCACACATGTTCGAATATGAAAACATAGCGGAAATCTTGCAAGCGTGGCATAATAATTATACAAACCGAAACCTTATTAAAAGTCCATAATAGAAATTGAACCAAATTCACGACCAACACCACCACAGCTGATCTCACACCTCCACACCGACTCTGTTACCTGAAAATGATAATAGTGGGGCGTGTGTATTAATCCACTGTACTCCGCAAAAACCCATACTAAAGTAAACAACAATAATAATATCAATATCATGATCGTTGGTATATATATATCTATACGTAATCTCCCGGTATTTGACCGGTATCAGTAACTGAACTGTGCAACTACCAGTAATTGGCCGGTTCTCTAGTGATCACATTCTGGGGGTCGCCTTGTAAACTTCATCAAGGATCTTGAATAAATAATTTGGTGTATACGAAATACTTACTTGATGCGGAAGACGACATAATTAGTGATCTTGATCTTGATGATCACACGAGGTTGAATTAATTGGTAGGTCTAAATCAGTTTCTCCCTCCTGACCTTCTCTTAACGTAGCAGAAAAGTGATGGGAAAAACTGCGTACCCTAATAGGAGGAGAGAGGACTAATTTATATAGGGGTGTCTTTAGATCTGGTACGTCCATCAAATATCCAGATTAATGGCTTAGATTTGTTTAACTATTAAATAAAGGTCTGGCCCAATAGGATAATTAAATGTGAGCCCAATGCTTCCATAATTATATATAAATATCATAATGTCCACTTAATTGTCATGAAGGCATTCATTTCTTGTTCTAAACATAATGTATACAAAATCATAATGAACATGAAATTCGATAATAGTCAGAAACATAACA